TTAGGATACCAAACTTTATTATAGAGGAGCAAGAATCTTCAGAGCCATTATGAATGATTTATCCAGAAAAGGAATGCAAACGGCTGAAAATGTAAGATTCAACTGATATCGCTCTCTTATAACCCCATATAGTATAACACAAGTCACATACTAAATTACTATAGTACTTTACAACTTTTTTCCCAATTAGCTTAATTTTGAAACCAAAATGCATTTTATATGTAGGCAATCCTAAGCGGAACTTCAGCTGGCGGATTGGCTACAATTTTGAATTGCGATAAGTTCAAGTCTCTCCTTCCAGATGATGCCAGAGTAAAGTGCGTTGCAGATGCAGGCTTCTTCATCAATGCGTGAGCTCTTCTTGCTATAGGATAACTCAAGAAATTAAATGATGTTTCGATGTCTTATTGATTTATGTCTATATTGCGCTTCATGATTTATGCAGCAAGACAATATCTGGCACTTCAGATATTCAAGATGAGTATAAGAGAGTGGTTACTTTACATGTGAGTCCCATTGTCTTTTTTGTTTAGTAAGATATATATGGTTAATAAGTAATTGCAAGTTAAAATTCATTTTTAAAATATTTCTATTTCCTCTTGTTTAAGGGATCGGCTAAGAATTTGCCTCCATCTTGCACCTCTATAATGGAACCAAGTCTGGTAAGAATTTATGTTTTAATTTGGAAACAAAAAACAGTTCCTTATGCTATATTTTTATTGCCCTCTAATAACATTAGTTTTCCTTAATGATGTTACAGTGCTTTTTCCCTCGAAACGTTGTTCCATACGTTCAGACTCTACTTTTCATAATCAATTCACAGTATGACTTGTGGCAGGTCGAAGATACAAATGCTAGTTTCTTTCCTTTAAAGAGTTTTATTATTCTTTTCTTTAGTTTCTTTAAAATCTCTCTCTTTCCTTGTGATAATTCAAAATACTAATTCCAGGTTAGTAACATTTTGGTTCCTGAGTATCTCGATCCTCAACGTGTCTGGAAGAATTGCAAGGTTCATATAAGTAACTGCACATTAAGCCAGCGTATAATTATTCAAGGTTGCATTAATAATACATACCTTCCAATTAGATAAGTTATGGCCTTCTTCATTCTTTTTGTTTCATTTTGTTTTTGTTTTTGAATATAGATTTTGGAGTGGAGTTCTTGAAGGCATTCTTGGGACTCACCCCTTCGTTTACGAGGGGTTATTTCATAACCTCTTGTTATTCCCATGGTCAAATTCAATCGGCGAGGTATTGGTTCAGTGCTAACTCTCCAAGATTACTTAATAAGGTACGTAATTTTCTTTGGCTTTACTATATAAAGTTTGATTAATACATGCAACTTTTGTTGTTTTTAAATTTTATTATGTGGGTATTATTCTTAATTTTAATTTACGAGTTAATAACAGATATTGCTGAACATTTTATCTGTGTAGACAATCGCTGAAGCCGTTGCGGATTGGTACTTTGATAGAGCAGAGTTTCATCAATACATAGACCCATACCCTTGTGGTAGAGATTGTTGGTCAACTTCATGAAACGAAATGCTCTACTGAGATGTGTAAAAGTAAAACTAATTCAGATCTATTCAGCGCTAGTGAATGAAAAGCAAACTTTGTTTGGTGTGCAATTATTGTTTTTTTTTTCGTTGACAATGACGTGCTTGCTAACCGTATATGTTTGAAAGATGAAGAATCATCTATTTGAAATAAGCTACAGTTTCTTAACATAAATTAAGTAATCTTAGAACTTTTCAGGATTCAAATTCCTGAACTAAGGTGCAACATCATTATTATTTACCATATTCCGTTGACATATGATCATGAAATCCACACAGAAAGGTTTCTCTAATTCTTAATTAGCAAAAAGGCTATAAGCTTTGACAATACAATTAATGAACTGTCTACAAATATTTTCTCATATTAATTAATGAGACTTCATTAATGTCTCTACTGAAACAACCAGGGTGAAAAGAGACCGAGCGATCGATGCATCTGAATATATGTACTTTTTTCAGCCTTTAAAATGAATGAAATGTATGTTCATCCATAACAAGCGTTACAGATCTAAATACTATTAATTAATATATATTTATTTAAATCCTACAGCCTTGTCTTGGGAAAAGGTAAAACGTTATTGTGCTAGCAAAAGAAAAGGGGTAAGCAAGAATATTTTTATTCTCCTTTTAATTTATTTATTTGTTTGTGTTTGCTTCTTAACACTGTGATTCTATATTTGGAACAATCACCATTTCCTTACTCTTGAATTTTGTAGGTTGAAAATGTCTTCTAGTCGGAATTTTCAGTTCATATACAATAATAGTATGTGAAAAGATGCACATTGCAATTTCGCATATATACAGATGCAATAGCAAAATTGCCACATCACTTATTCTAACGTGTATCTAAAATAAGAGCAACGATGACATTCGGGAGCGAGTGAAACAATTTGAGATTTCACTTCAAGAACCAAAATTAAGCTTGTCCACGTGCTTTATTGCAAAGATCTTATTTATTTTTATTTTTATTTAAAAAAGTGAGCATCGATATGGTTTGTTTATATTTGAGAGTATTTCTTGAATGCATAATGCTTTACAAGTTTAGCACAATAACTACATTGATGTGGTAAAATATGTACACGATCGAAGGCACAACTTTTGATACAATTAATATTATAGTTTATATAAATTCTAAAATTAAAGGGTGCTTATCAAAGTTTTTGACGTTATTGGATTATTGTTATCTTTGCAGGAAGTATAAACACATTTGGTTTGTAAGCAGATGAGGGTATTAAAGCAGACTTGTGTATTTTTCTTCATAACGTGTATGACTTTAGTAAATTGTAAAACATACCCTCCATCGGTAGAAGAAAATTGTGTTTGGGAATGTGTTGATTATTTAACAGTAACAAGAGGCTTAGATCATACTCCTCAGCCGGAATTGGAGAGAAGATGTAGAGATGGAGTACCAGATTTTTATTGTGAATCTAAGATGTTTTATGATGGATATTTTAGTGATGACTCTAATCCCAAATCCTTAGATGTATCCTGTTCTCCCCCATAGTAAGGTAACTTTGCATATGTATTTTTTGCGTATGGGAATAACTTTATATTTGTAATTTCAATTCAATAATAATATTATGATAAGACAAATGCAAGGCATAACGAAAGCTTTATTCAACATTCTGATTTTCT